AGAGGCCGGAGGCCGGCGAAACGAGAGGCCGGAGAGGAGGTGCCATGGGTTTTTGCCTATAGGAGCAATGAAACCTCATAGCAATGGGCCTCCAACCCAATAGCGAGGCATGTAAAAATGATACTCTCAGGACTTGAAAAAATGAACGGTTATACATTGTTGTTGTTTAAATCCCATGATATTCCGGACTAAGCGAAAATCCGGAGCAAGTGTCAAACCGGGTCCTGAAAACGAACGTGGAGTCATGCTTTTGCATGACCAACTCTAGTAGAATGAGGTCCAACTCACTTGTAGTAGGGTATGGTCACCTATATATGTTACATTATTGACAACTAAGGATCCACCAGGTGGTCTTGCTGAACCCGAAGAGCACATTCACCTATTGTGGGCAACTCAAAGGGTGGTACATCATTGACCCTAAACCAAATGTGTTTCAAGTCCCTTTACTCCCTTTTCCTGTGGGCGGTCCAGACCGCCAGTCGTCTGTTCACAGACACTTCGAAGCTTGCAGAACACCTGTCAATCCTCAAGCCCCTCCGACAGTTGGTGGCCAAATTGGACTGGCCAAGTGCAAAGGCATCATTCTCTCATGATATGATGTAGGCCAATGCTTTGAAGACAGCTTAGTGGGTGAGATGAAGCGCAATCTTCCGGAAGAGCGGAGACACCAGAAATGGACGATGCAAAGTGTGTCCGCCCGCTCTAATTCTTTCAACCTGACAGAACATGTTTGCAGATCTTCAGTCCTGGAATTGATGGACCGGAGCTTTTCAGGAAAAGGACCAGCAACTACACTACACAAACCATGAAGTGCATGTTGGGGAGTCAATCCCTCACCGCTTTTGAGGCAAACAAAACGCTTTCGAGTCGTCGTTGCCGCTCCTGGAAGCGTTGTTGCCAGAAGGATGCATCCCGCAAAGACCTCTGGATGCGATTTCTCGGAATTTAGTGGTCCAGGTCGGCATCGAGAAGAACCGGTCCCTGTGGCCCTTTTTTCCGGTGCCTGAGTTATTACAACTCTTTTGGTGAATGATTTCCTTTGGAATGTGTCGATAAGTTGATATGTGTTTTTATCACCTGGAAACCTAAGCCTTGCCCATGTATATAGATGTTCTGTGCATGTAGTGCATCTATTCATATCTGGGGAGTGAGCAAAGCTAACGGGAATTCATTCGTGCAACAGCTATATTATAACTGACATAAATATACTTTCAAACTGACATCAATTGACCCTTTGCCCGTGCATCTTTGGCAGTATGTAATAGCTTCGATCTGGCAGTGCTACTGCGGCATCTCCAAGCTGTTCATCTGACTGAGCTCACCCGACCTGTCAGATTTCTGAGCTCCCCAAGCGTCATCGAAAAGCTTCGCTTCTGCTTCTCCGAGGGCCAATAGCCAGAGCTCAATCCTGCGTCGTTCGTTTGGAGTGGAGATGCCACGAACGGCTCTGGGAAACTCCACCGAACGGGTCGGATCATTCTTCCGAATTGCTCTGAGTCGACTTGATACGTGCTCTTCTGGGAATGCAAAATGGTAGAAAGAGAAGACTATAGTCTTGATCCGTTCAAATCAACTTCTACTTCAACCGTTTCTGCCATTTTCGCCGTCAGATCCGTGGACACCCCGGATCTGAAGACGACGGAGTCGACGGTCTTCCCGTCGATCCTTGGAGCGTCACCCCAAAGCTCAATGTTCGCATCGAACGTGCAAAGGGATGGACGGACAGTAATATATGTGGTCATTAGCTAGATTGATGTATAAGATTAAACTGGTTACATGGCAGCAGTTCCAAACTACATACCCAACCACCTTGGACAAATAAAACAGATCAGAATTGCATGTATTTTTTCTGGATTGAATGGATTTACACCTTGACCACCTCAACAGGCCCAGCCTGGTCTTGGACGTTGACCTGGCACCAGCCTGGCGCCAGCTTGGATTGTTGAGGGGCTGCAGGGGCAGCAGTTAATGCTCCACACACTTGATAAAGGGCTTAAAAATATGATATAAATAATGATATAACAGTTGGTGAGGTGTCCCAAAGCATTCTCGGGCAACCTTTTTTTCACCCTTGAACAATTTTTTTGTTCAATCCGCCTCTTTGCCACCCTCCACCTTTCTTTTTCACCCCCTGAACATTCTTTTTCACCCTCGAACCTCTTTTTTCACCCACCTTCCTTTGCTTCGTGTGTTGGTTGGTTGGCTAGCTTGTTGTAACGCAAACCAAATATCGACAGCCTTTGGGAAAAACACCGGGTTGTGTGGTTTTGGTTGGTTACCAATAAGTATCGACAGCATTTAGGGAAAACACTGTTTGGTTGCTACCCTTTCTTTTTTACCCCACTTCCTTTGGTTGGTGCGTTGGTTGGTTCGGCCTGCTTGGCTTGTTGGTTGCTTGGATTTGGAGAAAACACATACAGTGATGGATGGGTCATGGACAGTGAGAAAAATGTTACTTTTTTGTGTGTTGTTTTTTTTGTTTGCTGTGATTGCTTGCGTGATGCAATATGGATGCTGTGTAAATAAAGGCGGGAGGGGGTGCGGGGGAGGGCGCGGCGCCTCCCCGCAATGCAAACCAAGTATCGACAGCATTTGGGGAAAACACAGGGTTGTGTGGTTTGTTGGTTGCTTGCTAGCTTGATGGGTGGCTAGATGGATTGTCTGTAAATAATGGCGGGCGGGGATAGATGCATGCATGGATGGAGTGCAAATAAAGGCGGGAGGGGGTGCAGGGGAGGGCCCAGCGCTTCCCGCAAAGCGAACCAAGTATCGACAGCATTTGGGAAACACAGGGTTGTGTGGTTTTGGTTGCTTGGTTTCGTGGTTGCTTGGTGGGCTACCAATGCAAAGCAAGTATCGACAGCATTTGGGGAAAACGTTTGGTTGCTTGGTTTGTTTGTTGCTGGTGGGCTACCCACCCTTTCTTTTGTACTCTCCTTCCTTTGGTTGATGTGTCGGTTGGTTCAGCCTGCTTGGCTTGTTGTTTGCTTGGATTTGGAGAAAGCACATACAGTGATGGATGGATCATGGACAGGGAGAAAAATGTTACTTTTTGGTGTGTTGGTTTTTGGTTTGCTTGCCGTGATTGCTTGCGTGATACAGTGCTTGATGGATATGCAACTTTTTCTGTTTGTGTGCTTGGTTGATGGATGGGTGGATGGCTGGGTGGATGGATGGATGGACGGATGGATGGATGGGTGGGTGGATGGATGCAGTGTAAATAAAGGCGGGAGCGGGTGCGGGGGAGGGCACAGCGCTACGGGATGGGTGGTTTTGGTTGCTTGGTTTGTTGGTTGCTTGGTGGGTTTGTTGGCTTGGCCGCGTTGTTGCTTGGTTGGTTGGTCGGTTGGTTGGAACTCCGTTGATGGATGCATGGATGGATGGATGCTGTGTAAATGGGCAGGGCGCAGCGCCTCCCCCGCAATGCAAACCAACCCTCCCCCGCACGGGATTTCCAGTATCTACAGCACTTGGGGAAAACACGGAGTTATGTGGTTTGGTTGCTTGGTTTGTTGGTTGCTTGGTTGGATTGGCCGTGTTGTTGCTTGGTTGGTTGGTCGGTTGGTTGGCACTCCGTTGATGGATGGATGCATGCATGGATGGATGGATCCTGTGCTGCCTCGCGTTCCGGAGGCGTCCGGGTCAGTTTCCGGCGGTTCCCGTCGTTCAGGACAGTCTCTGCGCAGTTTTCGGAGGGTTCCGAAGGGTTAGTAACAAGAAGTTATTGAGGTGAAAACAAAGGGTTTGGCAGGTGCAAACAAGGGGTGTGAAACAAACCGGAGGTGACATCGTTCTCTGTGCAGGTTCCAGGGGTTACCTGCTTCACCGGCGCAGGGTTGAAAAGAAAGGGTCGAGGGTGAAAAAGAAAGGGTGAAGGGTGAAAAAAACAAGGTGAAGGGTGTGCTACAGGGTGAAAATGACAGGGTGCAGGGCCAGGGTGAAAATAAAAGGTTTTGGAAGGGCGGAAAAAAGGTTCCAAAAAAAAAAGGTTTCGAGGGTGGGAAAAAGAAGGATGCTGACAAAAAACACATTGTTCAAGGGTGAAAAAAAAGGGAGCCCTATATAATGATATAACAGTTGGTGAGGTGTCCCAAAGCCCTTCAAACAAATCATCGAAAGACCTTCCAAGCAGCTCCTGTCAGCTCCTTTTCTAGTAAATTCGCCAACTAGAACCCTTGAAATCAAGTCTCATGCCCCCACTTCTCGCCCTTTTCCAAATCAGGTCACCCCACTGACTTCACCCCACTGACCTGTCTGCCAAATCCAAACACGTGAGGTTGAGACCTCAATGGCACGAGGTCCGGGCGAAGTGCGGCCGCCAGGCGCAAACAAGTCGAGTCGTCATGTTTTCCGCGCCTGAAAAACATATAAACTACATCTGGTCTTGGACAAAAACAGGTCAGCCCACAGGTTCATGTTGCAATCTGGGAACCCTGTATAGATCTGTACAGTACTGCAAAACATCCTATTACGCCATTATATAGAAACAAATGTGAACCTACTACGCGAAGAGTCAGCCATGAGATCATTTGGGGTGTCAACATGACCTGGGCCTCACGCATTTCACGGCGCAACATGTAACGTGCACTTGTGCATGGACTCTTGTCTCTTTTGCAACAAGAAGCGAGGACTCATTGGAACGCATGGTGGATTGCAGTTAAAGTTACCACCTCGTCTACAACGAGCAGAGACCCAGGACTGAGCCGTCAGGACCACAAACACCGTATAATGTGTCAACGGGTATGGCCACAAACATCTGAACCTGAACCCACCAGTAACACCATGCCTAAACTTCCGTGTCTTTCCTCGCTCCTCTAGTGAGCAAATCTGCTTGAGGCTTCGAGCAGACTGGTCCCGGGTGTCCCGTGCATGTGTCACACAGTTTGAGCAGAGATCTCCAGTGCTTTCCAGCGTCTCGTCCCCGTGGGAAGCCCCAAATGGGCAGCTGAGTTTTGGGTACGGGAGGATCCCCTCAGTCTGTATATATCATAAAGGTCATGGGCCAAAGACAGCAAATGTTAAATGCATCCCAGCACCAAAGAGATCTCTTTGCTACTACGAGCCCATCTGATCAAAATTTGCCAATATGAACATAAAAGGACTTGGAGGAAACCACCAGTCCCAAACTCAGACCTAAACAACTCCATCACTTCAGCAGCATTGATCTTCAAATGTAGCTCTCAGCTCTTTGTGCAGGGTCATGAAAAATGTACATCCTAAGTTCGTCATCGAGTTTGTCATCGATTCCACAGGTGTCAACATGTCCTGCTGGTAAAGGTGTTCGATCTCCATCCCAACGGGTGAAAAGCCTCTTCTAATCTTCGACACACCGGCAAAACACGGAACTTCGCATTGACTGGCATCTCAGTTCAAGTCGTCTTGAAATGTAATTCAGGGGGCTTGGCTGAAACCAGCAATGTCCCAACAACTCCTGCACACATCTACAGCATCTACGTTCCGTTACCTTGTGCAATATGCTTGACCCAAACAACCAGTACTACTACCAAACTGTGCATCGACCTGAGTCCAACCCACTCAGCCAACAAAAATGCTCGCACATGTACACCTATGCACGCCAAATAGCTGGAGACACTGTCTTGCACTGTGCTTTGACCATACAAATTGCACTAGAAAAACAAAAACAACAAAAAACACTTCCAACCGACCCGCGAGCAGGCCAGGCATGACCCTGTGTGGACATGACATTGTGAAACGATGCAACACCGACAGGATCAATGAACTCTCCAGCTTTATCGGTATCCCACGATAGATTGCTCTTGCTCTCTTGCTGAAAGATGTCGACTGGTGCAGCTAGAACACACAATATACCCAGACGCTCCATGCATGCGACATATGCCGCCCCATTGGGGGGTGGTTGAAGAGGGGTCAATGTAGGCATATATATGGCATACATGGAGTGTCTGGGACATGTACTTTTTCAGTAGTTAGCAAAGAAGCACCAGGGTCCCCATAATAATTTGGTAATTAACAAAAAATAGCTTGACTTATCTTATAGGGAAACAAATTGTTCCGTTCCGGTTTTACTTGATTTTGACCACAGCTTTCAATGTCCAAGGGGTTCTGCACCAGTCCATGTCGTTCCACCCATGTCCATGTCCGGCGTCTGTTGCCACGCCATCTCTCCATGGTGTCCATAGGTGGCATTGGAGGTCTTCACCGTTCCCAACACGTAGCCTGCGCACGGGTCCACGCCGCGCATAGCACGAGGACGCGTTTCAGCACGCACGCACCGAAGCACCGAATCCGCTCCCGGCACGGAGGAGGCCTTCCACACTGGGAGGTGCTGTTAGACCAAAGTCCTCACTGCCCCACAAGCAAGGAGGTTGTAGGATGTAGCCGGGCCTCGGATGTAGAGAGGGAGATGGAAGAGAAGGGCCTCAGGCAGTCCGTGTTGCCACCGGCATCAAACTTTGGGATCTTTGTCTTCAACATGTTAATTGAATTCGTGTTTCTAAATTTTCTAAATAGCAAACATTGTTCCTAGTTGTACGGCCAGGAGCCCCGATCGTAGCGAACATTGTTCAACAAGAGTACCCAACGTCCTCGACATCAAAGTGTGTTGGTGTAGGAAGCCAGGACTTAATGTAGAGATCTTCTGTTGTAACGTGAGTATTACTCATGAAATGCAAATCCTCCCCATCCACCCTGTAACGGCAACAGCGGAACCTAGAAATCCCCCATCCAGCTCTTGAAGGCCGGTCAAAAAGGAGAGCAATAGGGATATGGTACAAGTTTGACAGGATATGAAACCATACCCCCCTCATACTGTACATGTATCGTATTCTCTCTTTCACTCTCTTTCCAAAGTCCCTCTTGATCGCCAGGAATCTCGCCAAAGTCATCCTCCCCGTGTCCATAGATGGGCTTCTCCTCGCAGAGAAGCTCTCCAGTGCTCGCGTTGCACACCTGGCGACCATTGGGACCTATTGGACTCTGGTGCACATGGCACATGGTGCACATTTTTTCGCGTGGGAAGCATCATACTGGGTTGTTTTGTACTCCATAGCAAAGTGAGGTGGCTTTTGTTCTCCTGACTGACCAGCAGGTCGATCCCAGGCTGCGGAGGTCGATCTAAAAATGATCGGCAGGATGTCGACGGCAGGGCCAGTTGTCCCGGTCGACCATGACTCGGAGACTCGGTTCGGTGGCTTCAAAGTGGTGACTTTCCAGCATCACCAAGTGATGCTGATCGACCAGTGTCGAACCTGCCCTGAAAACCTGATCGCCAGCGAAAGAAGGACCCTGGCGCATCGGCACCCGCCTCAGTTCCCAAAGGACATCGGTACATCTGCATGGACAAGCAGGTGGGCGCATGGCAGTGGAAATGTGCCGCGGACAAACGACCTTCGCCTTTGAAGGTGCCCTGGATTGTATGGATCCTTGGACAGGAGGGAACATGTCGCCTCTGTCGATTCAAAAAGTGAGCATCTGCAAATCTCTTCAGCTTTAATGCTGCAAGATTAGAACGGGGGGAGTGACATTTTTGAGCTCGAACAGTGTGGCCACCAAATAGGGGATATTTGAAGCACTTGCTTTTGTACTTTGCAAATTACCGTATTACTGAACAATTCAATCCTACTACATGTTTGGTTCTACTCGAAGTTTGACTGCAGAATCGTGTGTCCACCTCAAAACTCTTCCAAAGACCAAGCGTTGAAGTGGTTTCCAAAGGCCCAGTGTTTTCCCCCCCCACGTCTGCAGAGAGGCCAAGTGCCATTCTGGAGGCTGCAGCCCATCATGCCCTCCGAACACTTGGGCACATCATATTCCACGGGTGATGCAATGCCCCATGTTACCTGGGACGGACTATGCTTCACCCTGTGAGATGGTCGTGTCAGTATCAAAATATAATGGAACATGTTAATTCCAGTATCAACGGTTGGGCAACATAATACTGGAATGTGTTTATTGTTTAATTAGTACACGTTTATTATATATATATATTTAAAGAATCTACTAAAGGATGACTACACAGTATCTTTACATCAATCATCAGTCATCGTAAATTGGAGATCTGAGTCCGAACATGTCCATCTGAAACAACACACAAAAAGCACAACATCCAAGATGAAAGCTAAGAACTACAAACATAGTACACCTTCTCAATTGCAAGTACATGCTCCAAACATATCTCTTGCATCCAGGTGGAGCAACATCAGGTGCAAAGTTCAGCATCCAGGTCAACCCCCTAAACCCACAAGTCATAGATGATTTACCCTCGGGATCAACTGACATGGTTCTGGCACCCGAACATTACCAATAAAACCAGTGACTCGGCAAAAGCAGCTCAATGTCCCCCCAGTTTTGTTCCATTCAGAGATCATGATAACCTCAGCATGTAAAAGGCCCAGTTGGCCAAAGCGCACGTTGCAACATGGTGTGGTAGGACTTGTCATACTCTTCCACCTGAGAGAGGCCGGGAGAACATCCTCCAGCCACCTAGAGGAACCCGGATCTCTGGAGTATGGTGCAGTGAAGCTCGATCTTGGGAAACTCCAAAACTGCTTCACATGAATATCACCTGAACTTCAGCCTCTTTAAGAACATGCGGCGGGCCCAACATGGCCGAACTCCAAGCGGCCAAGCGACGGTCCCAGCTCCATCCCAAAGCTTGAAGGTCAAACGTGTCCCAGCGGCAGGATGTGGGAGGGGATACAAAGAACACCCAAATCGAAAACCAGAAGTTCTACTTGCTACACTTGCTAACATCCAGGAAAGCTGGACCAAGAAGCCAACATCTCTTTAAATATTGGATGATGATTGAAATTCTTCAAATTTCAAACGCTAGATTGACCACATCGACTTCATTGCCCATGAATCAGAGTCCAGAGTCCAAAATAATCCACTCCTGCCCTCCAGGGTAGGGACTATAGCATTTGATCCATTGAATTCCATGTCCCAACACCCCGGAAAAAATAGAAGACCTCACCTCTCGATCCCGAACACACATTTAAAAACACTCCAATCGAGGTGCCCAAAAGCGCATCTTCAAGGAGTACTCGATGGGTTGATCGGTCCAGGGGATGGGTTGATCCGCATCCAGCAGGGACCACCTCGACCACGTGACGGACGACCAGACGACCGATGCGAGGACGAGGAAATGGCCAAAAGGATGAAGACGGTCTTCGAAGGGTCCATGTTCTCAGCAAAATTGGGGAGAAAGAGACAAAATCATGAAGACTAACGAAGATGAAATTATGTACACTGTAAGTACCAATGACAGGTGGTGGTATGCATTCAGTGCATACTGCGCTAAGTTCCCTTCAGATATCTGAACATAAAAAATCAGCCTGAATAGTCAAAACCAAGAACACACCATGCACACCATAAACGCCACACGAGATGCTACAGTAATCTTTGATGTTTCGTATTGATCCACACCCGAATCAAGGTTGTAGGGCTCCTGCTACGGAAACACCAAAAACAATTAAGAAATACTACACGTTAATATACGGTCCCTTGTTGAGCCAAATTGGTCCAGCTTCATTTGTCTTTGAAGTAATTAGGCAGTAGGTTCTCACATGTTATCACCAAAGAGTCTCCTGCAAACCCGGCATTGCATAATTATTAACTATATATTATATCCTGCCACGTCTCTATGTTTGTTTTTCCTCATAGGTCTAAAGCCAACAGTTATCCGTGAATGCTGTACAAGCATTTTTGCATCGTTGCCTCTACCGGAATGGGATCAACACAGGGTGGACCGTTCATCGTGCAGGTCTTGAGTCATCTCTGCCTCAGCACATTGTGCTTCAACGGATCTTCGATCTGGTGCTGACTGAGGCACATGTGATGGCACGCGATCTGCCCCCCGCTGTAGTTGCGCAAGTCACAGGTGGGGTTCTGCATCTTCAGCAGGTCGCTCCTGGGTTCAGCCGGTGGGGTTCATCGGACTCTGAAGAACAGCCATCGACCTTGCACCGATGGGTGAAGCATTCATTACGCAACCATCTTGGCGCAGCCACCATCTATCCGGAGCAAACAGCGTGTTCGCAGCGACACGGATGCGAGCGCAGAGCGTGCCAGGCCTTGGTTCTGGAGAGCATTGGTTGTTGAAAGCCACACTGCCAGAGCCTTCATCTCCAGGTCCTAGTCGAAGGTGCGGTGTGGCTCGGACCGTCCGTCCGACCCGCTTCAGCACAGCATCCCCGCTTCAGCACCGATAGCGCTTCAGTTTAGACCCAACTACTTGTTAAAGAGCATCTTCTCTGGAGGCTGACCAGAGCTTACTTACGGCTTGGTATCGAGACATGAATGAGCTCACGCATGACCAACGGTACCCACCACCCAAGCCGCTGGTCATCTCATCCCTGGTCATCTCATCCGGTGGAATCCACTCCGCCTTTGCTCCGTCTTCCGTCTTCCGCCTCCACAACTCACAACCCTTCCCATCGACTCGACTTGGCAATTCGACTCGGTCGACGACTCGGAAGCTCCTGAGGCAGTGTATTCCATGGTCCCCTTCGCCTGACCGAAGGGCGCCTCCTTGCCCACACACACGCAAGCGCCCGGCGTCGTCTTGCTGGTGGGAAGGAGGGTCAGAAGGCCCAAGGTACGGTGCTTGTGGTAGGAAAGCGTAGGGCCTCAGGATGGCTGAAGGTTGGCATCTCCACAATACACCAATGCAGCTGTTTTCTTCTTCTCTAGTGTCTTGTTGATGCTGCAAGCTTTGCACAAACACTTTTCATGCAGGTCGAAACCAATCACAAACCCTGACAACTGCTTGGATTGAAGAGTCTCCATGCTTCTCCAAGTGGCCGCTGCCTACTGCGTTGATAAAGTTGATCTGAGCACCTCCATCCTCCTCACCAGCGGTGGGAAGCTTTTTGGCACCACACACCGAGAAAAGCTTCAACATGCTTCAACTCAAGATCCGGCTCAGCCAAAAGACACCATTACCATAAGTTACCATGTATTTTTGGGGGGACTGTTCAAAGTCCAAGAGGGCAGGGTGCCACCGGCCCAAATCCAAACATCAGCTGATGTCGTTCGCCAAGCGTCCAACGGATTGAAGGAGTAGTACTCGGAAGAGGCACCTTGTTCCGTCTACGGTTCGACGTACGACCGTTTGACGGACGAACGCATCCGTTGGACGCGTCACCCGGTTGGAGGCATCCGGATTGTCCGTTTGGACCCCGTTGAGGCCTGCAGAATTGCCGGTTTAATGTGAAGTGTCAACCAAGTTGAAGAGTCCTAAAGGTCCTACATTGCTAGCGGATGACCGAAAGTATGAATATGTAATTGTAAATATAGTATGAATGAATTGCTGGAATTAACTATAAAGTGACATGTTGCAGGGTTCTTCCAAGTCATATGCTACTTCTGCAGCAGCAAAAGCCAGCTGCCATCAGCAGCAGGGATGGTTGCAGCTTACCGGCTGAGCAACGAGGAGCGTCGCAAAACAAGACTTCACTGTAGTACTACGCCCAACCATGATGTCTCGTCAGGTGCGACCATGAAGCCCTCTGTAGTAAGAGTTGTGACGCAATCTTACCCCTTCAACACTGGCTCGAGCGGAATCGGTGCCAAGTTTGTCTCACTGGTGTATACAAACCTCGTGTTCTCTTCTCCTGTCGCTTGTCCCAGACCGGCGCCTTTCAAGGGCCGCGTGAGCACCACGCGTCGCAGGGAGTTCACCACCTCACACGGTGCCGGCGTTGACGAAAGAAAAGGCCCTGAAGGGTGTCCGACCACAGAATTTTGGGACCTGCATGGACCTGCTATATTTTACGGACCTGCACATGTTAGTACTTATTACTAACATGGTTCATATCAGGGGAATATTATTGGGTCTGTTGATTGTTACTTGTTTATAACAGGTTGTATGGGCCTTTCTCTCAAGCGATATAGGATGCATTCAAGGATGTTTTGGGTCCCGCAGGGGTCTCTTTGGACAGTCTCCACCACTTTGAGTTCGAACATGTGGCATGTTAGACACTTCAGGAATAATTAACGATTCCTACCCGGATGTCAACCATCCCAAAACAATCCAAAACACACACCCCACATCACAAAGATTTGGGCTTGGCCACTAGGTTAGCTTGCGCCGTCATGATTGGTCCTCTGGACTCACCCAATGGTCCTCATCAAACTCAGCACTCACATGGTGGGGCGATCGCTGAAAAATCAAAAGAACTCTTCAAATCCCTGAACAAGAAACACACTTAAATAGCTGCAAGACCATGCTCCTCTGTATAGTACTAGTTTGTTTGGGGTCTGTTGTGTAGAGGCTTTTGGATGTTGACTGTGAAACCTCTGATACTCCAGTGCGCGGACAAAAACAAACAAAAAAACTGCAACTGCAACACCGGGTGCTTACACAGGTTTCGGAGCAGTTGCAACGGCCCCAAAACGTCTGGACGACCTCTAACAACATGGGATTCCATTTCTTCCACCTCTGGGGGATACTGGGGGTTATATCAGAAGTGTTCCACCATCACTTGCAGAGTGAGTGTTCCCGGTCCGGCTCGGCGTTCAACGAACGAACCGACCTCGAACCCCGGACGGCCACGTACATCGACCTCCTCGACCTCTCCCGGCGGCCTGGGACTCCTTCACCGTCACAGAGGCTTTGAGCCTCACCCGGATCGACACGTTCGCACGAACGCCGTCTTCGCGCGACGCCGTCTGCGGCGAAAACGATCGGCGATCGAAGACCGGTTCGGCCCCAAAGGCATGGGGTTCCAAAGCGATGAGATGCCAAAAGGGAGACAACGAACACCTTTTTGGTCACCTTCCAAATGTACGGATCTATATATTGTCTGTGCCTGGTGTAAAAGCTGAGCTTTTTGCAGCCGGAAGTCCACTGATGGGAGATGCTGAGACGGACAAAAAAAACGTTTTGAGGTCCCATGGTTTGTCAGTGACTTCATTGGCAACTTGATGCCAGCACCTAATCTATCGAATCAATGTGCCTGGACGCTCAAGATTCCAAAAAACATCAGAGTACAGTACATCTGCCACACAGTGATGCTTCTTTATTGAAATGAGACAACAAGCAGGTCGGTACAACTCCAGCGATTCCATGACAAACTCGGTTTGATTCTGGAAACCTCAGCTTCACCAGGCAATTCCACGTCATCTCCACGTCATCGCCAAGCGACAAGGTACCAGCTTGATGATTGCCCAGCTTTCTCTCAGAGACTTCTCCCTGGCCATCCACGATGATGGCCCAGGGCTCGTCGCTCATGCTCTGTGCCGCAAAGCCCACGCCGAACCACACATCCTTCGGTCCTTCTAGGGAGATCTGCGCCACAGAGTTCTCCAAATCCTCAAGACATGGAAGGATGTGCTGGATGCATGGCCTTACAAAAAGGGTCAGTCTCTGAAGGGCTCCACTTTCAGATCTTCAGATCTACAATTTATATAAGGGTGTTTCTTTTTCAATGTTGTTCATGTCAAATTGATCTTTTTCAAGGATCGACCTGGAAGCAAAACACTTGTGCGACTTGTGCGACTGAGTTGAATCAGGTTGTGAACCAAACTGGCCACTTCTCAAGCTGGTCATGACAGGGCGCATGGAGGGTGAGTTTCCGTGGAAATTATGTGAGATGAACATCTGGATGTCAAGAGGATCCTTGAATGGTGGCACCTGGCTGTCTCCGGGATCGCGTAGTTTGGAAACATGCTTTTTGGGAAGTCCCTATACTCAATGAGGACACCTACCAGGACCTACAGTGCAAGCAAAAAACCTGGAAGAACAATACACATTCAATCAAACAATGATTTACATAGTTGTTTCTTGGATATCCTTGGTAGCGTACGATGTCCTCCATCAACATGGTGTCAGGTCGTCGGGCCATGTTCACCGCTCCATTGGGGAGGACCCCATTCCACCGCTGGCAGCCAAGGGAATACTGTCCAAAATCCATCCTCGATGAGAGGGCATCCAAGAAGTAATTTACCACCACCCACTTCTCACCTGAGCTGCCTTATGACGCACCTACTACCTTACTGATCCACCGGTTTCCAAGGTTTTTGCTCAATCACCTCATCCGCAGGTTGCGCGCACATCTCCACATGATCTCGACCGATCCACAAGGTCGGATGATTCATCCTAGAATCCAACACCACGGAGACGTTCACCAAGGGGTTGCTACTGCCCACGAAGTGTTTGGCATCGCTGCCACCTCGTCATCGGAAGTCCGGCTGTTCGGTCCACAGGCTGTCGGGGCGGGCAAAGGCCCATGACGGAGTCTTGGTTGAGTAAAATAGGTGAAACACATGTTGGCCATGGTTTGCCATCGTCTTCAATTCTGTCAATCCTGTTCACAAAGGGTCGACCCATGGAAAGTCGAACAACACACGAGTGTTGTAGTGATAGCAACATTAAACATCATAGTTAAGTTAACATATATATATATATGTAGTAACCATGACAAACCCATCAAGCCTTCATGAGTGCTGTGATAGTCACCCTGGCCGGGAGTGAGTTGGACAAGGACTTGCTCCAAAGTGGTTGGTTCACTTCATCACCTCCAACGGACCGCTTGGTGCGGCTGGTCCTACAAGGATCAAGGACCCTTCGGCCTCGCTTCAGGACCGTCTCAGCTAGCAAAGGACGAACGGACAATAGGGATGACCTAGTACATCCGCATACATCCCAACGTTTGAGAATAATTGTGTGACATTGTGTGTATAAGCCCTGCCAACTTAGCCCACAACCCAAGCTCTGGACCTCAAAGAAGTCCCGATCTTGCCAACTGGTGGATTGGAAACATGTGTCCCACAGAGGAATCGGAACTACCAGGTTTCAACATAAAGGTACTTATCTCTCTCCCGAGATTCTTGGCAGTCACCATGTTTTCTGCGTTTTTTTGGGGGTGTTCAGAAATGGCACCACCAACAGAAGCTTTCTTTCCCTCACGTTCCAACATTGGGCTAGCGGCACAGCGCTTCGGGGATGGGCCGTCGGCCGCGCCAGTCCTGCCGATGCCGGGCCACCGTGGCCACCGCGTGCAAAGCACGGCGGAATCGGATGCGATTGGGGAAAACACGGCAACTGCCAGTTTTGTGGGGAAGATGTCAATGTGGGTTATTCTTTATGTATGTGGTCGAAATCCTTTTGTAACATGTTGTAACTAACTAGTATGTCACAAGATTTTGGGGGCTGGGTTGCTATGTTAGGAGTTGGACCATTGCAGTCGATTATCCTCGAAAACTGTGAACATCAAAACGGGTTGTCTCCTAGTGTGTAGTGTGCAGCATCCCCTATCTTCAAACACATAACACGAGATTCTTTACCAACCACATGATTCTATCAGTCAAAGGCTGCGGTCAAAATCTGAATCTGCTCACGACCAAATAAAACCAGGTGAGGATGGGTACCCAATACGTGCACGGGTGGTATATACTGAGCTGCCTAAAGCCCATCTTGCCTTCGCTCCAAGCCCCGCGAAAGGTTCCCCGCCGCAGCTCCTGCTGCATGGCGGCACGCCCATGTTCCGCCTAAAGAGCAGCCCAGCCATCAAACGCAAGTCGTTACGTTGACATATTTCGACCCCTTTACTACCCACAACCCAACAAGAATTCTGATTCACATTCAGCCACTCTCCACCAGTCTCCACTAGCCTGGCTCCTCCACTCAAGGATTTGTTCAGGCCCATCTCTCCGACTTCGGGGGTTCCGAAACCCAGCGTCTTTCTCAGGCGGCAAGTCTTAGTGCCGCACTTTGAATGAGACATGCACCAAATCCAGCTCTTCCATGTCACCCGCCACGAAGCAGCCAGGTTCCTGCCGGAACGACTTTTGAGGACAGGGTGGGGCTTTCTGTGCGAGGGGTGCCGCAGTCTGCCGGGGTGTTCGTTTTGGGATACTCTCTCGATGTTGGTATCATTAGCATACTGCAACAAATATCCAATTGTTCGGCCGGGTGGCTCGGTACAAATAGCAAACATATAGAATCAAGGTCGAACCTCGAACTCGAGCAAACATAATATATCACATCTAGCCAATTGAAGGTTTCTCCGAGATTTTCCGAGCTTGTGACTGCCATCCTCTGCCTTGCAGGTCCTTTAATGTTGATTTACAGTAGATGAGTTCACTCCCTATCCGCCAAATCTCCCCGCTGAACTGAGCTTCCTGAGCCGACTGAAGTGGCGTCAGCCGGTGTTGGGGCAACGCAGTACGGGCCAATTGGAGGCATTCCTCGCCTGCCACCGGAAGGACACAGAAAACAAGATGAAACAAGGAACAGCTGTCCGCTGTCCTATTGACATGTATTGATCAACTGGGCCAAACATGGCCAAACGGAAGTTGAGTATTCTCGAAGTTCAAATCTGATTGCAACACCTTTCCCACTAGAATATCTAGAATTGTACGCTGGGAGCCCTGAGAAGGCCAGTTTTCACCCTACAGTGCCTTGTTCCGCAAGTCTAAACGACTCGAGAATCGACCGTCCCGCATCTGCCGCGTAAATTGGATCTGGTCACAGCTGACCCGACAGTGCGTGATGAACACAGTTAATGAGCATAAAATTTGGTCATACTGAAGTATATCTCCATGATGTTCCATGTACCCAGATGAAGCGACGATGCATGACGATGCATGTTTACCAGTTTCCTGTGCCCCGCTCTAGTACACAAAGGACTGAGTGCCGTAGAGCCACCCGTGCGAGACATTCTGCCTCGTCACAGACCTGGATCAGGGAAAAAAAAACCTTGAAGAACATCTACCCCTAAAACTATAAAATAGAAATTAACTTTCGAACTATCCTGAGATTGCTACCTGGATCGATGCTGGACTTTACTCACTCCGGCAGGATCGGACCCGGCATGGGCGCCTGAGGTCGCCAGCTTCCCACAGGGGGCACCTCCCACGCGAAGAACTGCCTTGCCTTCGACCTGGCCCCGGATGGGCGCCAGGTCGAAAAAGACGAGGCTTTTTGCCAAGTGATGGACCTTCTCCACTTCTGGTTTCGATGTCAAGGAGCTTCAGATCAATGTGTTTAAAATTGTCTTATATATATATATATAAGTACGTCTATATAATCAAATCAAGTGGTCTGGCAGGTTTAAGATGGTTTAACAGTCAAAAAGGACTATATATACTTGTTTTCCATGGAAACAAACAAAACTTGAAAAATAACACTATAAAACACAGATTGACTGACCTCAACTTACGCCAGATCTGGTGACCTTCACCCACCACATTCAACCAAGTCACCAACTACACCCTCCCAAGTCACCTCGTGCCAAAGCCTTTCCTTACTGTGGTGCTTCACTGTTGTCACTGTGGTTTACCAAGGGATCTATGGCATGTATGGCCCAAGCATCCTCAACGTCGGTCACTTGGAACTCTTCGACACGGACCGCGGACCCGCGGACGGTCCGATGGGCCTTTTTGGTGATTCGGGTGGTCACGGGACACTCCAAGAGCCCCGAGTAGAGTGCATCCGGTCCGGTCTGAGGCGCTAAGCTGCTCCTGGAAAACTGGGAAAGGAAAAGCAGCAGGTTCATGCGAGAAGATCCAACAGGATGTGGAAAATTTGTGGAAATAACTTTCTCTTATGATGAGGGATCTTTTAGATAGGTGGTACCGTCCACCTACCAAAATAAAGAATTTTGAGGTGGGTACACCCACCTGGGATTCACTATTTCTGAGAGTCCTGACTGCCTAAAACAATATTCACTGATTTTCAAGGGTCTTGCTGACATCATACAATTTGGAAAATGGGGGTGGGTGGTATATTCCTGGGGATGTAACGGGAGATTCATGGAAAGCATCAAACACAAGTCCTTGCACAGTCAACCACTAGAAACATAATTTGCCGCGCTCTTTTTCTGCTGGGTGGGTACCTCCCTGAATTCCTTGGATACTATCACCTCCAAGTCCTATTGAAACCTATTGAAATTATTTTGGGGTGGGGGACCCCTCCTGAGCGCCTTCAATAGCACCACTTGATGGCTTTGGTGGCAAGCCACAGCCCAACACAGCCAATATGTTTGCTGATTGAAACTACTTTTTTGGGGCTGGGATACCCCTCTGAGACCCTTGGACGGTATCACCCGATGCCAGAGTGATGCACGGTCATGCCACAGCGACACCAAAGATGGAATTCGGTGAAACTATTGGGAACCCTTGGTCTCAATTGATTTCACCTCGGCAAGACAAGTGGAACGGCGTAACGCTGCTGAGAAAAGCACTCACGCTGATGGCAATGTGAAGCCATAGAAATCTGTCCTTAAAACTGGATTGAAAAACACAAACTTGAAGTGTGGTCAAAACAGCTGTTTCTCGAACCAAGCGCAACTCAGAGGCGGCAAACAAAAAAATACATCAGAAGGTTGTAACATTTACATCAATTTGATTTATCATAGTTAGGATGTTCAACATTGTAATCACTGAAACCCATATATTCATTTATTTCTTTGAAGTCTTTGTATAAATCATCAGTATCAACCTGTATTACATAACTATCAGTGTCAGTATAGACCAACTTAATATTATCTTGATATTTTGGTTTCAAACCATCATAGTAAAACGAATACATGTGAATTTTAGAATAGTCTAAAATAAACATACCCATATAGATAGGTTTGTTTAACTCTATTGTTTGTTTATCCTTTTCAACTATTACACGTTCATCATTTATAATGTGTCGGTGTTTGTATGTTGGTTTATTTACCAGTTTTTGGAAGCGTTCCGCAGTATTAACCAACTCAAAATCACCGCGCTTTCTAATATTTTCCATAGTTTTACCGCAAACATAATTATTCATTAATTTAAACAAGTCCTTTCAAAAGGATTCTTTGCTTGTTTTCTCTTCTCAGTGTTGAATTCAATGAAAGGTTTTAAGAAGTGTGCTTGATTGAAACTTATTGTTCTATGGACTTTCATTAGTTTCAAACCGTGTTGTAGATAGAATTTCAAGGCGGATATGTGTAATACATAGTTATTTTTATCCATAACATTTAATACTAATTTGTTTGTTTTCTCGTCAGTTGCTTCTTTTCCATAATAGTATTTATGAATATCCTTTTGAACTTGAGATAGCATATTCTCATTAATATTCATAATTTCAGGTGCTAATGGGTAGTCCTTGTGTAAGTCGTGAATTTCTTTTGGATATTCTAAATCAACTTCCATAATATAACCTATTTCATCATCATCGGTGTAATTCAATATTTTCTTTTCATCAATTTTGTTGTAGTGCCATTTGAAATTATCATCAGGCAATTTCTTACACGACATTGCTAAACCATGCAAGTTATTAGCATCCAAATAACTTACATATTTTTATGGTTTAGATTTATCAAATTATTCATTCATATATTTGTTGTTTGCTTCTACTTTTTTGTATGAGCATTGTGTCATCCCTCCTCTCAGTCCGTTTTCAATCATCTCATACATTTCTTTGATGTGGATTTGTTGAAGTCTAACTCCTGTTAGTGATAAAAAGGAATTCCAAGAATAATTAGGCAAAGTTATATAATCCCTGAAGTTTTCAAAAACATCAGTCGGCAAATAAACATCGGTAATCAAATACAAATCATGGCATTCACCAAGGTTTTTTTATATTAAAGTGTTTCCATACAACATTTGCCCTATCATAATCTCTATCAGTGATATGTTCTTCATACAACTGACTATATAAGTGTTCCTTACTTGGTAGTTGTTCTTCATCAAATTTATCAAAGGAATTCATATAGTCGTATGGGTATATTCCTTTATCAAATAGTAAATTTAATTTAGTTTTAGACTTGATATATGGATTTGTTCCTTCATATTTATTTAGTCTGACTAATTTTTCCAGTGATGCTGATAGAAAAGCAAAACTGTCCTTAAACTGACAAGCACCAAATGAAAAGGCTATAAACTTTTCGCTGTTTTGTGCTATTGCATCTATCCTTTTGTTTTCATTCAATTCTATGTTCAATTCATTTGCTTTAGCAATGACTAAGTGAGCATCATAGTTTTTTAGGTTATGAACAAATATCGGAATTTTAAAAGACTTAAATGAATAATCTAAATTACATTTTACATGCGCTGCGCCTCCGTATTTACCTGTGAAGTGGCAGTGGTCGCGGACTTTCTCATCATCAGGTGGGAATTTCTTATTACATATTGAGCAGTGAGTTGCTTTTCAAAAAAACTCTAATTCTTGTTCGTATGTAATTTCCATTGGTTTATTAACATTCATCTTTTCAAATATACCTTTCTTAATTTCAGTCAGTTGCTCTACAAACTTGTTCATACAATCCTCACCTCTGTATAAGTATGGTTGGCATGTATTATCAATCCTGCTTACTACATTCAACATATAACCGCACGGTTTATGTTCCTGATATGTGCCTTTTATACCATTGTTGGAGTTTGTGGTTAGACATTCAAAATCTCCATAGATTACAAAAGGACACGGTAATTTAGTGCTATGTTTTTCAAATTCAATATAACTACCTTTATCAGGCATTTTGGTTTGCTGTCCTTCTGATGCCATGCAACCTTTTTCTAAATGCTTATTTTATGATAGGCCTTTTCCGTTGAGAATGGACTTAAGCAATGATGACAATAATGTTTCCTACTATCATCCTTGTTGCTTTGACAGTTTAGTAATCTACTCTGATTTTTTACTATGGCGTAATGATAGTCATTGTCATCCTCAAAAATCTTTAACAAATCAATTTCATATTTAGCATTTTTGTTTTTAGTTCCTCTATATAAAATTATTTTGTTGTCCTTCAAGCAGTCATCAGGTTCAAACAAATTTTTTGAAACTTGCTTATTGTGTTCTTCAAACCGGTCTATGTCCCTATTCCCTGTAGGAAATTTAACACCTTCCCAATTCAAAATATTGTCATTTAACTTGTTATAGTGGAACATCTCTTCTGGATGATTTTTATATACTGATTTTGTCAAAGACTGTACATTGAATACAGTATTTGAAACATTTTTGGTCTTTATTGTTTATGTTGATACACGCCTTTTTAAGTTTAATCCATTCTGGCAGTTCTATATACCTCCCCGCTCTTCTAGGGTCATACTTATCAAAACAAATGGTTATTGAACCAATCTTTTTAAATACTAAATTGGACTGTGTAGATTTGTTGAACACTATTTTCTAATGCTTGGTTTAACTCATCCTCATTATGAACATTGTAGCGTGTTGCTGGTAATTGATAAAGGTGTTCGCTTGTAGCAAGTTTATTTCCTCCATCATCATATTTAGGTTTTTCAATTAAACCTTCCGTTCTGATGTTAATTTTGATATGTCCTTTATTTTTTAAGAAGTCTCTTTATCGTGATTTTTGATGAGCAATCATTTCCAATCCTCGCTCACCGTGAAAGTGCTTATTTTCAAGCTTTACGGAATTGGCATAGTTTCTAAATGCTGACTGGACATCATTTACTCTTAATCTATGTCTTATTGCCCTTCTGGTTAGTAATACTTTTGCTCGTCCAAGGGTGTAAGCATCTTTTGCTTTGTTTAAGGCATAACTCCTATACTCGTTTGTATTTCTGATTGATTTAAGTTATTTTTAACATTTGATATTTATTTTGCTTTGTTATATCTAAATTTCCTACCATCTATGATTATTTGCTTTAATTGTGTTTTTCCTCTCTTAGGTATTTCTGCTAAACCAGTATTTAATAGATAAGCTATAACTTTTTTCGTCATATAATACTCTATATATTCTATTAGTTTTTATGTGAATTATATGTTTTGTTCTTAGAATTTGTATTTTTTTATAGTCTATTGTTTTTTTGTTTTCTGAAGAAGTGTTTTATGTTGGTTATGTGAAAAACTTATTTAAAAGAAACATATTGTTATATGATGAGAAATGATGGAAGAGCAATATTGTAAGAAATGTAAAAATACTAAAAGCATCAATGAATTTTATGAAGGTAATATATGTTGTAAGAAATGTAACGACTACAAAAAAAATTACCATTACAATAACAAAGATAGATACAATGAAGCGCAAAGAAAAAGATATGAAGAATATGAAGAATATAGAAAAAAGAAACTGGAACAAAAACACAATTTTAATCTAAAACCATTACCTGTTCTGGTTGTAATTGTTCAATAAGGCAACACTATTTCTCAAGACATATTAAAACAAACACTGTAAGCATCAAAGGAATTTAAATAATGGTGTGTTGTGATGATTTTGTGAAAATGAATGAGGTGATGATATGGTTTGCTGTGATGATTTTGTGAAAAATGAATGAGGTAATGATATGGTTGGTAGTGATGATTTTGATATGGTTGATGGTAAAATGAAACAATCAACCACATTAAAAATCTGTTTTTTAGTATGTTTAGTTTTATTTTCAAACTTCTTTGAATTGTTGTTTTTATCATTTTGGGGGGACCCCTCCTGAGCCCCTTCAATCTAAGAGAAAAACACAGTTGCCTATAAAATGCACTGACCAGGTGCCAGTATCAAAATTAAAAAAACACATCCTTCTACAAAATGCCCCCTTCACCCTAACAGCCTCAAAGTCACTCAAGTTTATAAAATGCAAACATGGACCTCATACCTGCAAAACCTTCAAAAACAACACCAAAATTCAGAGTGTGCACCGCATGGGTGCCCTATAAAATGAGGGTCAAAATTGGCATAATATAGCACAAAAGGATCGGCATTTTGTAGGCGAACACCGGTATAAACAAGAGACACAGAAAGCAACTTATTTTTGTGCCCGCCCTACCTCTCTTTTAACGTATGTAACTACAGTAACTACTACAATATTTTTTCTGAGGTGGTTGACTGCTTGCTGCACCACCAAAATAAAATATTGCACATCTGGCACAAGCAAAAATGCACGCTCTCCCGAATCTGAGATCTACACCTTCCTAAATCTGAGACTCTAAATTACTTTGGAAGGATTTTCTAATTATTTTGGAGCCTTTGACTATCAACGAGAATACTATTCTGACCCTCCCCACCAGTCCCTGATTGAAAAATATCTATTTTGAACATATATTTCAGTACAGTACTGCCACCTATGAAATAATTGCGTACAGCATCACTCATCTCTTATGGTTCTTGTATAATAGGTCTTCAGTTGGCACTAAGCTGGATGATGTTTGATGATCAAGCACTTCCTCCAACAGAACAACCATCGAAAGAAACTGGCACTATACCCAAGCACTGGTCGTTGTGTGGGATCACTAACACCTCCTTCTGAGCCATGTTACAAACTCATACAGCCAGCTGCCATGTTCTATCCAAAGATGTTTTTTGAATCGCTATGGTGCACCACCAAGGACCCACACCACGGTCTCCAACCGACTCCAACCGTCTGCGACTGTCTCCTAGGCACAGGGCCAGAAACGAAGCGAGTCGGGTGAGAGATATTCATCTTCTCCCGATTCCAAGTGTCAATCCTGAGGCTCAAGCAGATGAGATCGAGAATCCTCTTTCCCGCACGTTGTTTTTTTCCAAACATCACATCACAAACATGCTGGATCCCCTCCAAACATGAAGTAGAGTCAAAATCATCGATTTCAGACTTCCCATGTTGACATCAAGGGGATCCTTTTTCGGCATGTCTACCCAAACCTCCGGCCGGTCCACCGTCTGAGCCAACCAACCCGAGCTGAAGGCGCTGAGCGCTCCGTCGCTGAGCGCTCCGCCGTCTTCGCTTCTGCCGAAGGGCTGCATCGGAGTGATCTGGATCTGCGTGGGCGACTGGATCACCTGAAGAAGCGGGGCGAGGTCGACCGAACATCACTGGACATCACATGGCGGTGGCAGGCAGCAGGCAAGGCAGGGGCGAAACCGGGCTCCAAGTGTTCACCAAAGACCTCAAAAAAATTGCGGCGTTGAGCATTGTGTTTTTTGCATCGCCTCGACCTTCCCACAACTAGGAAGAAAGAGACCATGTGTAACATAGGGTGTCCTAAGGACCATTTACATAAGATATGATCATCATCCTCCGTGGTCCATGGACGCCCATGGGTTGTGAAGAACCCGGAGAACTCAGAAGTGCGTAACCCCCCAGGTTGCACCTGCACATAACCAGGTGCGTAGCCATGGAAGCTTTTTCGAAACTCTCCACCATTGGCGCCGCCGAAGGCTTGTGAGCTCGGAAATTCCTCAGTTGAACCAAACAGTAACAAATGGACTCTGATGGCATCGGCATTGGTCTCGGAAACCCTGGAATGAAGCAGATTCACGAAGTCATGGTGATGACATTTTGAGGCCGAATGGAAGATCACAAGGAGTCTAGGATAGTCTGTTGGTCACGCTTTGGATGGGTCTAGCTGGATCCTAGTTTCATCCTAAATGACAGGGGCGCACACACACATACAACAAGCTCGTTCAGAGATTCATTCTGAAAAACACAATCTACCTCCTTGTGATAGACTTTGGATCGCTTTCCAAGCCCAACAAGCGCCCCACCCTCCCACCACACCAGTTTCACTGATGAAACAACTTGAGAACCTGAAAACCTGTCCACCAAGTGACCAAGTCGAGGAAAACCTGATGAACACCTGCCTACTTACCTGGAGGAGATCCGTTTTTGCCACTAAAACTACATGACTCTTCCCAGTGACCACCAAACCACTAAACATCGTACGCCAATCATCTGATACAATCCAAAGCATGCGATGATTTTGGAGACCTATGCGGTCGGGTCCTGCGAAAGCATGCGCTCGAAAATGGCCAGTGAAACTGGTTCCATGCATTCATGCGGGGACAAAATGGTCTGGTCAACAAAGCATCCAAAGAACCTGCAACACATGTCAAAGCTCCTGCCCTTCAGCAACCCACTCCTGTTTGTTCGCAGTCGATACACTCCGACTCATTGGAAGTGGGCAGCCCATGAGCAAAGAAAAATAGACAGTCCTAGGTCCTAGATGGTTCTAGTCACAGTCCAATGCCCACTTTGGAGGAGTCCTTGTGGGTCTCCCTATAACATCTACTGTATACAAATACAAATGACTACAAAATGTATATATATATATATATTTGTATTACAATACAATATAGCATATACTATATATATACACACCAATACTAACGAATTTTGTTATATGAATTGGTTCGACCACTGCCACTACTTGACTGCTCCAACATGGAGTAGACCGACTGGCCCCACAGAGGGCAAGGCGCGCCGGCCGTGGGCGCGCACTGACCCAAGTGAGTGTGATATATGAATATAATAGATATATATATATATACAAGTGCACACCTAGTATCTGCATGCAATACATCCCTCTGCAAACCATGCATTCATAGTGAACAACAAAATGACCCTTTCATACAAATAACTTTTACACATAACATCACTATAATATATATATATATACTATATATATATAACATATAGTATATGAATACTGATGTAAAGACCCAAATGCCCAGTCCATCCATCGACTTCTTCCAAGCATCTCCTGACTTCTTCGCATTTTGCTTCACCACCCAGCGTCGATCGCCCGGCTCCCATGCAAGCGGCATGCCATGGCCGTGGGTGTCTGGCACGTTCGGATCCTTCGGGCCTTGCAACTCCTGGGGCCAGGAGGGTTTGGACCAAACACATCAACACCTTATGAACCTTAAGGTATATCGGTGCTTATATCGGCATATCCCATAAATACCAGTGACAGCGGATGATGATTAGTAAAGGTCTTTCCATTTTAAAGTGTAGGGCATACTGGTTTATACCATGAAGCAAAAATAATACTGCACTATGTTTCAAAATCAAAAAATACAGAATATAACATACTGTAACTGCATCAAACAACAACACCTCTCCTGGTTCGGCATAAAATCATCAGGCTGAGGCAAATTGTCTGTTTCTGGTGCAAAAAGCAACAATAGTATGAACATGTATTATGAACAGTATGAATCTCACTGACGTTCTGAATCACGTCCTGCGACTCAAAGACCGCATCCTTGCCAATCCTCCGTTTCCACAACAGGGTCGACGGCCGTGGGCGACGGGGGAACAGTTAGAAAAAATAAGTTGCATCGCAGTTGGATGAATCTCTGCACTAAGTGAGATGGGAAACTATTTCATTGTTTTGGGAGGTGCAGGTGGTGCCGGATGTTTTCCACCCACCGTCAGTAGGATAGTCAAATGTTCATTAATGTTTGTGGGATTTGGGTGTGAGCTTGAATCCTAGTTGCATTGACGCATGTCATATTTGACTTTTTCTGCACACGCTCTATTAGCCCTATCATTTCCAGTCACAGAATCAAAGTCTGTTGGACATGTGCGGCTTATTGGACCAAATGCAATGACAAAAACACGTGCAAAACCAACAATATTGAGGAACATTGAGGAACACTTTGATGGCGATGGTCGGATGAGGTCGGATGATATTTCACAGTGAAGATCATGCCTGGCACATGCCTGGAGGGCAAACCGTCAAAGCGGATCTGCGTATATCTCAGCCATCCAGCGCACTAATTAAAAGGGTTTTAGGATGTTTTAGGATGCTTTAGGCACCTTTCACGAAAATCGACGAACTGGCTTTAGTCCATCTGCAGAAACAATCCTTGCATCTGTCTGCGACTCTGATTAAAGGCCCCTCCCAAACATCTTAAACTTCGGTGCCCTCATATTATGGTGCTGCTTCTAAACCACGGGGTGTTGGGACTCATGTCTCCTGGTACCAAAACTTGAGGAATCTGCAATGCCCATGGCCTTTCGATGCCCTTTACCACATCAACTCAAGTATCAACACTCTGCTTTGACCCTCCAGCACCGGGACCGGGCCCAAACACTTCAGACCGTCATCGGGGCCCTTGCAACTTCCGCTTCCCATGGTCTCTTTCCACGCCAGCTGGCATCGTCGACTCGAAGTGGTGATTGTAGGCCACAGTGATGGGCACTTGGACATCGCCTGCACGGTCACAAACACTGATCGCCCCTTGGAGCAGTGATCGACTGTTTGAGAGCTGAAAGCCTGGGCGCCCATCTTTTGGGCAAGCCAACTAGCGGGGAAAAGGTAGGTGCGGAGAAGAGGTAGGTTTCGAGGTACTTGGGAGCAAGTTGGCCACAAGGGCTCATGGGGAGAATAGTCGCTAACTTCTCTAGCACTACACCTTTTTTTAGAAAATATAGTTGGAAAATGTTGGAAATACATCTGCTTTGTTTGTTTGGGGGTTCTCTGCAAAGAACATCAAAGAACTTTACCTTGAATGCAGTTAGCTCAATCTCCTTAACTTGGCTTAGTTGGTTGACCAAAAGAGGCACTCAGATTAAAGGAAACATGAACTGAGTCTGTCGAGGTTTAAACGACTAGTCCGTCTAATGAATGCACAACCGGTCAAATTCTGACTGCATCTCCAGGAAGTCAACGAAGAAGTCAATAATGAAGTGCAGCTCGAGGAGTTCCATCTCGCTGTTCCGATTCAAGGACGCTGCTCTGAGATCACTGTCACTCCAGCGATCCACACCAGAGTAGGTCTGCCACTTTTGGGGGCATGACCACTGGATCGTAAGGTGGCCTGCAGTGCCAACCAGCGACGCGTCTGTATCTCCAGTACTCTTCGCGAAACAACTGAGCGTCGATGTCCAGGTTTATCAGGTAGTTTTGTCTGAATGAAACCAACTTTTTACACACTGTCATATACTGACTGTCAGGCAAAATGAAGTTGAATAAAACAATGCAGAATTCCTACCTCTTCCCTGCCAATCGTCCCGTCTGAATCTTGACTCGTGAGCCGTTTCGCTGGTTGACCCTGAAAATGAACCGATTCCTTTATACGAGATGTCAACCTCCCATGGTCTCATGAATTTGTTTGGGAGGTTTTGACTCACAGCCAAATATATAGGTCAATTTTCTTCTACCTGTTGGTCAATCTCACAAAAGAGGTTATATAATCCTGAGTGGGCGAACGATTAAAGCCAATGTAAATGTCTGTTTCAAAAGGTTGCAGTGACCGTTGACCGACGCCAACTCGTCGTTTCTCCGGTATGCCCTGCAGTCCTTCATATGGCCACTGTGAACATTCAGTAACTATCCGCAGCAAGGTTGCAGACTCCTACGGTATTAAATAATGGGATGGCACTAAGTTGCTTCTCCATGGCTGTGACACCTGTGAACATCCCTGACTCAAGACAGCTCAGTGGAAAATAACAAGTTATATAGAGGCTTCCAAATAGGAGGGCACCCTTGAAACAAGGTGTATAGAATTCCATAACGGAGGGGAATGCTCTCATTGGTTCAACTGGCCCTTCTCTGCTCAATTCTGTTGACTGCTGTTGACAAGATCATGGCAAAATGCTCACAGCCATGCCCAAGAGTCATCGCTGTTCGAAACCAACCCGTGCTGGATGTGAATCATCGCTGTTCGTCCAACCATACCCCAAAAAGATCCAAACAAGGCACGCTGGATGTGCTTCACGGCTACATCCCCCAACCCCTGCGGAAGCACCGCACGGCCTTTTCGCCACGTGTCCCGCACGCGACCCTGTCGTTCCGCCTGTGGGAGTGCGTCGGACCTGATCGATCTCAAAGCCCACCACGGCCATGGCCTTCCCATCGAAGCGCTTCACCACGTCGTCAGGTAGATCCACCGGTGGCAACGACTTCCAAAAGACCTGGGAATACCTGGCAGGTCGCGGAATTCAGCCAACCTGGAGGACCTGTGCTTCGATGATTTGGTGAGCTGTTTCTAGGCGTCAGCGTTGGCCAATTTCTGGGGTGCAGCCGGTTGCACTGGTCATTTGGGCCTAACAAAATCCGCAACATCAAGACACATGGTCGAGCGCGGGATTCAGCATTGGCGCAGTACGGATAGTCCAGGCCCTCCTAATTTTCGCCATGCTGCAAGGTCTTGATGGTCGGACTATAGACATCAAAGTAGCTCGGCTTCCGAGGGTACTCGCTGAAGTGTGTGGGAAAACGCTGCTGCGTCTGTTGAGCTCCAGGGGTGGCTGACAAGACCTGAGTCAGGCTCGTGAGGTTCGAGCCTAGCAATTCAGCATTCTGCTGCATGCTGCATGTCATGGATTTCATGCAGTGGATCAAACTTCAGGCATGAAATTAGATTAATGCATGATTGAGCATGTTCAGCTCATGCGATTCTGTTCATCAGCCACTTGCGAGGAAGAACACCATGACAAGTTTCCTGTGCGACATTCAGTTTCAAGTGATCAACTCAACCACCAATGCTTTCATGAACACGGATCAAAACACTGCATGCTATCATTGCTGTAAGGGTTCTATAAGTTCTATCCTTACACACATTCCTGGGCCTTGACCCAAAATTCATCTAAATTCCATGTTCGACTTCAACCTCTGTACTTGTCGGTCTAAGGTTGAGGCGTAGTCACCTTGGCATGAGCCGACTCTCGAAGGCAAAGAGAATGCGTATACGTCGCTGGTATCTGAGCTATTGAGGTCCCTGTCCTTGAGAGTGAGGTAGAAATGGACTCTTTCACTCGCAAGGAACATTCTGTCAAGGTAAGTGGTCCCCTTCCTTTCTCACAGGCATTTGCTTCTAAAGTCCTCAAGACTTTAATTAGCGGGTGGGCAAGGGGCTCAAGCCTTGCAGTACTTGGACGTCCCCAGGATCACTCTTCTGTTCGCCATTTGGACGTAAGTGATGTTTTGAAAGGATACAATTCTTAGACGGACATGCAGCCATGCATAACATGTTCATGGTCTTCAATATATAGCACTTCCCTTGCCACACAAAGCACACTCAACCGCGCATATCCTTCATCGGCTCTGACAATGTCGGGCCACACAAGACAAACATGGCACAATGCCGAACAAATCTTGTTCGTTTCCTCGATGGTTTCCAGAAAGATATATGTTCTACAAGGCCTCAGGTATCCTCAGGTCTCATTTCTGGGAGTTGTGCTCACATAACCTAGGGGCTCCTGGCATCGCTACTAGGAGCGGTCGGATGCTACTAGGGCTCCTGGCCTTACTACTATAGGAACAAGAAGCCACTAGGGGCTAATGGCCTGTTTGATCCTTTTTGGAAGATCAACGTGTGTCTCTGAACGGATCCAATGCCCATCCTCTGAGGTACACTGAAGTCTGTGACACTCTTTGACGATCTTCTTGAAGGGTCCAGTCGTACCTTCTGAGGTACCTAAGATCTCCACCCTTCACGAACACACAAATTACAGCATTACACGTCGTCATGCCATGTTTCAGACCTTCTGGCAACCATATTGACCATCCATTGTGGGTGTCGGGCCTGTGAGGGGCGGAAGGACCAGTGCGTCAAGTTGAAGTTCAAGACCCTCTCAGGTGCGGTCCAACTCTTCCTCTGGGCTCATCGGTGTGATGTTTCGCGCCCTTCGCCGGGTGGCCGTTCATGTTCGGCTCGCCAGCCACCAGCATCGGCCATAGCAGGCTGAAGCACCACATGGTGGCAAGGTCCGAGCGGCGAGTGCGGCGAAGCGAAGGTTCGAGTCGGAGCACTCGAGTCGGAACGGTTTTGGGGTGCAACCAATTGAAGCGTTTTCATTATAATGATGGATACTTGTGGATTTTCACTCGTGTTTGACATTGAGAAAGCAATTGAAAGCCACTTGAAGTCCAAACAATCACCATCCAGTAAATCCGCTAGACTCATGTCCAGGGTCCAACTGAGGCATTCCAACTATTTCAGTTCAATACATGCCCAGCTGGCTCGGACCAAAGTAAGGTCTTGCAGGCGGGTTAGAGTTCTGAAGCACAGATACTCCAAGCACACGGATGGTCGTAGGACCCACAGGGGCGCCTGCATCCTACTGCCTCCTATGGGTCGACCCGATGGTCGAAAAGCCCCCCTCTGGCAAAGGTTTGGGTATCCCTTTTGGTAGACCTGCCAGGGCATTTTGGCACCTGAAGTCTCAATGATGGCGCAAGAGGTCTCTATCTTATGAAAGACAACCAATGCTGCACATCATAGACCACACATGACGACACCATACGACACCAAATATGTCCAAACGCTGGTACACAGCAAATGTCCTGCTGCTGGGCTCCAAGTTGAGGCCCTTACACAAAGACTTCCAGTCGAGGTCATACAGTATTTTAGCCGACAAAAGCCGGAAGGACACCAGAGCCATCTTAGCTAAGCTAGCAACTGGGAGCATTTGAACGAAAAAAGGGCTCAGTCACCCCGCAAAACCGTTCCATGGCTTCGGACGGCTACATTGGAGCTCGTAAAACTGGCACTCCTCCCAACGGCTCTCGTACTCCTGGCTCGCCGTCGAGAGTGCACAAAAACGTGAGCTCGAGGAGCCCTCTTGAGTGGTATCCTCAAAGGTATCAGGGTCCCCAGGATTGACCAATATTTAGTAGGACATAGTAGGACAGGAACATATAAACACCAGATGTTGGAGAATCATGGAGAATCTATAGAGGCCCAAATCCTGAAATGTTGCTATGATTGCTCATCTACTTTTCGCACCCAAAAAGGAACCTTGGTCGACCAGTCAAAGACAAACTGCTTGCCTCCGATCCTTGTGGCTGTCACCCCACACAGCCCACGGAGGCCCACACAGCGCGAGCGGGAGTGGGGACGCGATCGTCCTCTGCTCAGGTTTTGTGGTCTGGGCATCTTCAAAGCACAGCCAACTTGGAGGCCCATTGGGACAGGTTCCAAATCTTGATTCAACCACAGCCACTGGGCCTTGATTAGCTGCATTTGCTACATCCTTTGGGCTTTGGACAGCACTACCAACCAGTTACACATAATAAACTATTTAACAATCTTCAGAATCAGGGGCATCTACATTTAGATCATGGTGTTTCAACCCCTCCTGCTGTGTCAACAAACATCTTCAAAACATGTGTTTAGACAAAAACAATCACCTCATCCAGGTTGTTGACATTCATCCGCTTGCTGCGCTTCTTTCGCACCGGATCCCTTCGCATCAGTTGGACCGCGCCTCCCGGAGTCGTTGGAACTCGTCGAAGGCGTCCCCGTAGGCAGCGTTCACCAAGTCCACCTGGTCGGTGCCACCGGGCGATGCGGCGGGACCGACGTGACAGTCCGTAGGTCGCATGCGGCTAACCCATGGTGGTTGCTTGATCTGTGCGCAACAGGGTTGATCGTTAAAGAGAAAAAAACACAAGCAAACATTATGCTGACACATCTTCAATCAAGTGCCTAAATATTCGAGATTCCATGTCAAGTGTTTCTTTTTTTTTCAGGGGTGGCGGCAACCAGCAAAAGGAATAAGGTCTGCAAACTATAGACCTCATGGCCTCATGGCCAACATGCATGCGCAGTGCCACTGGTTTGAAGCTATCGTCTTCGATTGATGCTGATCTGCATCTGAATGCGAAACATGTTCGAAACCTTTATGAGAAACCCCATGGCCCATGTGTTCTTCGCTTGTCGAAAGGCCGATGCGTTCCTCCCACGGCGAGAACCGGAACACCGTGTTCCATGGGGCTCGGGCAGTGCCCTGGAGCTGCTTGATACGGAGGAATGCCTGGGTCGTATGGGTGAGACGCACCCGCCTGGAGTGTTTGGTGGTGCCAAATTGGCACAGAACCCAGTAGAGTTTAAATTCAGTTTGGCTTCAGAATTACCAGGTTCACGGTATGTCATTTCATTAGATTCTTTTTGTTGGGCATCTCCTAAGGATGTGGTATAGCCATGTATAGCCTATAGATACATCTCCAAGCTCTCAAGATTGGACGATTCACTCAAAGCGGTCGAACAAATGATTCAATCAAGAGAGGCCACCAGCTGCACCAGCCCCATCTTCGGGGTTGCTCCAGGTCTATGACTTTGGCCACACAAAACCCCTCGAGTGTGCACTCCTTTTTTTGGTACGTAGGGATCCTTCTGTTTCCCAACAACGGTCCCCAAAACGGCTCGTGTTGGCTCCATCCCCGGCGTTCCGCCGCTTGTGCTGCTCGTGCCGGGCCTGCTTCAAGCGCTCCTCGTCCGAAGGCTCGGACGCCTCGTGTCCGGATGAGACGAGACTGCTAAGAGGTCCAGACCATGGACCCTAGGAATCCATGGGACTGATATAGTTCTACCCCTAGGGCCCTAGGGATCCACATACCCTCTGAGAAGGTGATGTGTGAGGCACTGTGGTCTAGGTCTGGAGGGTCCAGTCGTACCTTCTGAGAAGGTACGACTGGATCCCTATAGGGATTTATATCTTGGGGGTAAAATTTATCGGGTATATAAATATGTCTAACTATTCCATAACTTACATGGATGGTCTGGGAGAGTAGCTTTGGCAACTCCACAATCGTGCGACCCCTTTGACAGGCACGTGGACATTCCAATAGAGATATGGACGAGAATCGTTGGATTTCTCAAACAGTTGCTCCCCACATACCCTGCGTGGTTCCCTCTTGTGGATATAGCAACCTAACGAGCAAAAGGTGCGCCGGGAACTCCTTGTAGCTCCCAAGCATTTTCATTCAAGCACCTATACAGTCGTCACCCAAACCTTCCGAAGGTCGCCCCTATCTCTGCGGGCCTCTTCTTTTCCAGCAATTCCTTCGAGGCAACCGCCAGAGGTTGGCAAATTCTCGACACACACACACACACACCAAATATAGAATAAACGACTCACAACATGCCAAAACCGAAGGACAACCATCATTCAGCAAGAGATGTTCGTGGTCGGACATGGTGCGAGCAATCTTCTCGCCGGCAGAAGTAACCTTTGAAGGTCACCTTGTGCATGTTCCGTATACTGTATATACTTCACAGCCGATGCTCCAAGATATCACAGAACAAGAACTTGATGCTTCAGCCCTGCTTCCATACCTTTATAGTTTTCTCCTCAGGTGTTTGGTCACTTTCCGACTTCGGCTTGGGGGCTGCGATCTAGTGTCTACAGAATTACGCAACAATTTTATGGTTTCTTCATTGTTTGTTGAGGCCCAGAACAAACACCAACAAAATATCACACACACAATGAACACATAAGAGCTTCACTCGATCTTTCAGGCAAAACCCGTGCAACTCCTCCTCCACCGCCATCCACCTGAAGGTGACCGCAGGTGATCTGTTGGGGTTCAACAGCGCTGAATTATATGATTTGCACCAAGAAGGCAGTACAAGAGCAAATGAGACCCGTACCAACCTGGAATGATTCCAGTGACAATCCCCACAGGTACCACATATTGAGTTGGGGATTGAACTTAGACTCAAACCAGGCCCTTGGCGGAAGGTATGGATCATGACCTGCAGGTTGTGGGAGCTGCTGAGCTGCGTCCATTTCAGGTCCAACGCAATCATTCGGACCTGTTTCGATTCCCGCTAGATTGAACAAAACGGTTCACACAACGATATCACTTATCCAATAGCATCTGCTTTCCAACTCTGCTCTGACCCGGAACCCTAAGTTCCGACCTCATTCCAGACCCGATCCCAAACGATGGGCTGGGCCTCTTTGGCTCCACGACGCCCGGCAGCGGCCAAGCGCAGGGTTTGGCTCGACAGCAACTCCTGTGCCTCGACAGCTCCAGCAGGTCCGGTCTGAGGTCGGATGAGGTGAAACGTCGGATGAGGTCTGTTCAACTGGTCTCCGAATGTGAACAAAAAACAAACATTAAAAAACAACCAAACACTTCTCAGGTGACATAGGGGTTAACCGATGTTTTCTCACACTAGGAAGGGCTCACGGATCAATGTAAGCAAATATTCCAGTCCCATGTAGGAGAACATATGATCACACGCTCCAAAGCAAGCGCATTTTGTCCAGCAAAATCCATCACCAGGCGGTTTCGGATTGAGATCCCCAACAGAACACGTGCATATATGTGCTTGGTGGCAAACCCGATTCTGGGGTTGGCCAGCATCCTTTAAGGATACGGATTGGACATGATACTAGTAGTGATACTAGTAACAAGGTTCGCTACGAACGGAGCTCCTGGCATCGAGACGCACGGAGCATTCTGACGACCGAACGGATGGCTCACGGAACGGTCCAACTACTCTGGCTCACACAGCGCGAGCACAGCTCGTGTGGCCAAAGGCTCCTCCGGTCCGTCCACACCTGTTTCAGCACTTCACGCGTCTGCACGTCCAATTCCTGAACCTGGGCGATGTCCAGTTTCAGGCGAGACAAAACACAGGGGGACTGAAGAAGTGAGATAAAGAACAGCAGCAAGGAGGATAGGGGAAGCAATTGGAATCTCACGCAAAGTTAGAATAGTTTAGATGTGTTTCGTACAGTCCAAGAATCTGGAGTAGAATGTGGCACAAGACCAGAACCTTTTGGATCAAAAAAACCTCCCCTCTTTGGGAGGCTCCCTGCTTTGGACACTGCCCACACATGCCCGCACACAAAAAAATCATGGGTCCTGTGTTGACATATAATCTACCTATCTACTGCAAGATCATATTATTCTTATTATACATAAACAGTATATACATATATATAAAGACTCCCAGCACTTCACTCTCTTTTGTCTGCAATGCAAAGCCTAAGTGGTCATAAAATCAAGAAACATTCTCACAAAAAAGCACGGTTTGA